CGCCCCCGGGGAAGCCCTCGCGCCCCGTCTGGTTTGGGGGGCCCTTCCCCTCCTCGGGGCTGGGGGCGGGGGGAGCTCCGGCTGTTCCCCCGTTGGTGTGGGGGTCATGGCCCTCTCGCCGCCCCTCCTCAGGCCGGGGCGCGGGGGGGCTCCCATCTTCCTCCCCTGGTCCTCGGCCCCCCCCGGTCTCGGGCCCAGCCGCGAGGTTTTGGGGGAATTGTTTGTTTCCTGCCCCCGAGGTTTTGGGTCCTGGGGTGAGACGGGTTGGTGGCATTGAAGCCTTCACGGCCTGAGGATGCTGGCAAGGCAAGGCCGGTACCTGGCATGCGTGTTTTGTCTTAGGTGAGTTAAAATGCTGTCTGGAAAAACAGTCCTCCAAGCCCTGAAAAGGACTTGGGCACCTAGAAGCTTGGGGTCTTTTGGTGTGGTTTTTTTTCTTTGTCTAATAGAAAGTATTACTGTTTTCAGAGGGCTTTTTTGGTCAAAATGTCCTGAAAACAGAAACGTTTCTGTGAAGCTGAGTCTTAGAAATGTAGCAGATTTTCTTCTCCGCTGAAGCTGAACTCTTCCTCGCAGAAGCAAGGGCTTGAGTCCAGCTCTGGGTTGGTCTTCCAGAGGATTGTGTTTAATGCTCAGATGAGAAGGTGACCGTAGGGAGAAGAGACGGCCAGGTGGGACCGTTTTCAGCTCTTCCAGGGTTAACGTGATAGGTTTGTGCTGACTTGTGCGTGAGAAACCTCTAAGCAAAACACAAAGTGCTGTGTTGGTAAAGCTAGTTGTACCTGTATTGAACTTGGCTAGTTAATCTTTACTAATTTGCTATTTCCAGCTGAAGCCAGGTTGGGGGTTTTCCTCCTGTGGCTGTATGAAACACTCAGTGTCAATCAGCTGCTTTATCCCTTCTCATGGGTGACTGGCTTTCAGCTCTGGCAGGAGAGGCGTTTCCCTCTTGGGAATGTGCTTAAGAAATATCTGGGAAATAAAGTTGCTTCTGCTGGCTGGGCAGGAAGGAGCTCCAAAATGTTAAAGTAGTTGAATACTTTCTATCATAAGAACTCAGCTTTAGTAGTTTCTAAGATATTCAAGCAGGGTCTTCTTAAGTGGCTTTTTGGTGGTTTCTAACTTTGATTTTTCTGATCTTGTGGGCTGCAATTCTTGTTTCCAGGTACCTCCCTCAAGGCGAGTGTTTTTGGAAGGCAACAACAAAAAAATAACTCCAAACCAACAGATACAATGAGCAAAATGAGTGAATCTTAAGTTTTTGTGATTACATGACAATGTTCTAAGCACCCTCCCTCTTTCTTATTGGTATTCAGCAATTGCAGCTAAGCTTCCCACCAGGCCTATGGAGCCACGAGGGATTGTCAAAGCCTTTCCCAAGAGGAGGAAGGTGAGGGATGACTCAGGGAAAAGCATCCCTCCAAAGATCCCAAAAGAGGAAGGAACAGAGATACCTGAGGGTAAGTCCTGCATGCCCATGATTTGGAATATAATACTCCTACCACAGCTTGTTAACTGGAGGTGCTGTTCCTCCAAAGGCTTTTTCTGGCCCCTGAGTGTGTTTTCTGTAGAGATCATGGCCAGCTTGCTTTGGTATGTCCAGCTGGTGCCCCCCAAAGACTGCCTGCCACTGTTGGTGCCATCAAGTCCTATGTGGGATATGTAGCAAGATATGTAGCCTCGTTGGTTTGGGACACTGTTTCGCTTGTCACTGAGCTCCTGCCCCTGTGTTTTCCTCAGCAGAGTGGCTGAAACCAGTCACCGCCTTTGTGTTGCAAGCTGGCATCGGCCAAGCCAGGGTGGAGATCTTCCATAAGCAGATTGTCCAGAATGGGGGTGTTGTACACAACCAGCTCTCCTCGGAGGTGACGCATGTCATTGTGGCTGAAGACATGGACTGTGATCGGGCCTTTCGGCTCCTTAAATTAACCAGGCTACCTTCAGGGTTGCAGCTAGTGAAGGCATCCTGGCTAAGTGCTTGCATTAGAGACCAGAAGCTGCTGAGTACCGCTGGCTACCGTGTCTTTATCCCTTACAGGTATGCAAATGCCACGCTGTCAGTCCTCCCTACAGCGCTTCTATCCTAAACTGAACAGCACTAAAATTTCACCTCTGCTTAAAATCTCGGACTGCAACTCCTTGCAGCTCCTGTGGGCATGACTCAGAGTCTCTTTTCCCCATACAGACTGCGAAATTTAGTGATTTTGTGACCGGTTGCCATTCTGTGGAGTAGCAAAACATGGAGTAGAGCCCAGAAGTGCTAACAGGAGTCCTGTCATTTGCTACAGGTGCTAAAGGCACCTCTTCCTAATCCATCAGTGATAAGGAGATTGCTTTTAAAAATGCTGAGGATTAAATGCTGTTTCTTACTTATTGCAGACGAAAAGTAGAGAGAATTGACAACTAGGCACAAGAGGAAATAAGGAATGGAGCAGCAGGCAGCCACAGGTTAGGATCAAAATGTTTTGGCAAACTTTTGGAGAAAGAGTCTAAGAGTGAGGTAGATAGAAGTGAAAGTTGCAGGTCAGCGAGGTGGATGGAAACTGGGGAATCGAGCCAAACCCAGAGTAATTAATCTGTGATCTGAGAGAGTACAATTCATATGGGTTGTTTGCTCCATCCCAAAACATGCAGAAGGATTTCTCAGTCAAACTTCTGGGGGCTGAGAAGTCCTCCTCCTATACTAAGGCGTTGGATCCATGGCAGGTACCTGGAGGAGGGAGAACTACAGAAAGAGCAGCAGCAGCAGGTCCTGGGCAGTGAAGAGATCCAGCCCTCAGCAGAGGAGGGAGCAGTGAAACCAAATACTGAAGCACAGGTGGAGGATTCCTCGCAGCAAGGCCTGGGCACCCTTGGACAGCAGCAGCTGGCTGAGGTGAGGCTTCCCGCACAGGCCCTTCTCCTTTTTTACAGATCCCGCATGCTGCTTTTCCTGGCTAAGAGTATCCCTGCAGGGATACAATGCCAGATTTTCTCAGCAAAGGGAAGGCATTTGGATGTTTCTGTGGGTTGGTGCTGGCAGACTCAGGCTGTGGACATGGTTACTGCTTCTCTTTGTCCCTTTTAGGTGTTAAAAGTAGAAACAACACCCCTTAAATTCCTGTCCCCATCAGAACATTTCCAGCTGAAGCAGTCTTGGTGCTCTGATCAGGCCAAGGCTCACGCTGGTGATCATGTTTCCCCTGTGTCCTTTTGAGGAATATTCCCTGGCTGAGAGTATCTCCCTTTCAGGAAGCTGTCTCTGATATTTCACCCCGTGTTCCTGCCTGAGCCATACTGACCCATTCTCCACTCCTTGGCAAGCACCCTGTTCAGACACATGTGCAGTGGATCAGGTTGCCACTTGAACGATTGTGGTGGTGTGCTTAAAATATCTGTGCTGGGTTATTAGTGGCCTCTGCTGTGAGTCAGCTTCTCCGACCTGCTGTTAGCTTTCTTTCCTTCCTCTGTATTTTTGCTCAAGTTTGCTGAATTCTTTTTGGGCATTGGCATCATCCAAATCTATCTGTAGCAAAGTTACCTCAGACCTCTTAGAGCAGCAGCTGCCTTATAATGCTGGCATCTGTTTTCTAACACAGTTCCAAATTTTGTTTCACAAAACCCTGTAGTTACTCCCTAACTGGCAGCCCACTGGGGGCTCCTTTGTTTTAGGCTTTCTCTTGAATATGTGTAGGGGGGCATCTTTTCTCCCCAGACTTACTATCCAGTGTGCTATAGGCAGAGTTGGCTGCTGCTTAACTGCATCACCTTTGCAGTTACCCCATCTTTGCTGTTTCTTGTAACTCTAATTTAGTGGCAATCGTTACTAACAAATCTCACACTTAATGGGAGAAAGGATCTTTTGTACTGTTACGGATCCTGTGGTATCTGCCCTGCTTTCTGCTCACATTTACTCTGGGTGGTCAGACAGCTGCTAGAGTCTGAAGCCTTATTGCCTTTTTTTCTTTTAAATCCTCTCAAGCAATATTTCCTCTTAGTCTGTGCACAAAAGCAATATTTGTAGACACTTCAGTAAAATCCCTTGTCCCAAGCTTAGGACTATGTGAGTCTGGGGAGGAGAAGAGAACCCACAGGATATGCTTTAAAGACGGTACCAACCAGTTTTAAGACCCAGCTACAACAGTAAAGCTGAAGCTGAAATCTCAGCTTAGAAGTAGCCTCTGTTTAAGCACAGAGTCTTTTCTAGCTTGGGTGGATGTTTTTTCTCTAGGAGATGATGAGTGTGCCAGTGTCTCATACTGAACAGGGGCTGCTCTGGGAGTTCTGCGTTTGGATGTAAACTCCTGTGAGGAAACCCTGTTACCAGTCAGACTGTAGCAACCACTGTGTGACTGGCATCTGGATGCAGTAGTTTTCTGCAAGGCAGCCTTTGCAAGCAGTGCCAGTTATTCACTGGCTGAACCCTGGGGCTGTTACCCCCGCCTGCCTGCCTCCCTCTCAAGTGGCGTATTGCCTCAGCTACTGGGCTTCGGCCGCTATCCTGGCTCATGTGCTGTGCTCCAGACAAACCGTGCACATCCCAGTCTCATCTACCTCTAGCAAATGAGCTGCTGTAGGATCCGAGGGTATCTTAGAAGCTCACGGGACTAGTTGGTTTTGCACGTATGGTTGTAAAGAGTCCATCAGCTTTGTTGGTGAAGCATAGAGAGTCAGGGGTTTATGTGCCATTTCACCTATGTGACACTGCTGGCTGAGAGGATGGGAATTGTATGCTCCAGCTGCAGAGTTGTTCTCCAAGCACAACGCAAACATGTTTCTTAAATGTTTTTAAGGGGCTTACTAACCAATCTGAACACTCTGAGGCTTTGCTGCCCTTAGAGGGAACAGTGTCTTAAGGGAGTTACATTTCAAGGTGAATAAAACTGCTGTAGTCTATCAGTCAGTCAGTCTGACCCAGTTTTCAGAGTTATAAAACAAGATTATGAAAGGGAAACATTCTGCCTCTTCTGCCTGAAGACTTCAGCTGTGTATCTTGCAGGAATTGTGTCTCCAGACCTCCCTAGGCAGGAGAACCAGAGGTTGTGAGGATATGCCTCTGGCTTAGTTAGACTGCCGCTCTGCAGAAACTCATAACGGGACTTTCGTGCCACATGTAACTGCTGGACTGATCCCAAACAGCCCTGTGCCATTCAGGGTTACTTCTGCAATACAGGAGCTCTTGGATCTTCATGGACTCCTGTGTTTTTACATCAGGAGAGAGGAGGACCCCAGTGAGCAAAGCAGTCTACAAAGCAGTCTGTGTAGCTTCCCACTTCTATCCCCTTTTGTTCATTACCTGAAGCCAAGGCTCATTGTTTCTTAAGTCCACACAGAGGCATCCTAATGCTGAGGGTATCAGCAAATGTATACATTGGTTCTTTCTTCTGTCACTGAGGAATGTGGAGTCCTTTGTGTCATTCCCTCCTCCCCCTTTTCTCTTGCAGATAGCCATGGGAAAAATGGGGGGGTTGTAATTTACTACCCTGTTAAGATTTTGTGTCTGTAACGTGAAAACAGAGTTCAGTGCGTATCTCCTGTGATCTGCATCATGGGGTGGAAGGTGCAGAGTCTGAATGTGAGAGATGTGTCTATGCAGCCACCAGACCAGTGAAAGGTTTCCTAGTGGAAGGAGGGAGTCAGGATCTCACCCAGCCAGGGATTTCAGCATTGTCATACCATGCTGCTGGCAGCAGTTGCTCACTTAACCAGTGTCTTACCTCAGTTAGGTCTCAGGGGCTCAGCTGTAGGAGCTGCGTGTGTGCTTGGATCACAGGTGGACAGCAGTCTCTATTCTCCTGTGCTTTGTGAGATGTGCATGTAGCTTCAGGGGTGCATGTGTAGCTTGGGCATGAAGAGCTATGGTGTGCATATAACCAACCACTTCTAGAGATGGCAATTTGAGCACTGCATGCCCTGGAGGTTGGTTACTGCTCTGACTTCCTACTCTCGGGAGCAGCCTGTGCCAAGGGGACATATGTGAGGCATGCACTTATTCTCACATGGCTGCTTTTCTACCTCTCCCTAAAGAAAGTCTCTGATGATGAAGACAGTGAAGAAGAAGATGCTAGTGTCACCCAGGGAGATCTGGAAGCATTGATTTCTGGCCACTACCCTGTGAAATCGTCAGAGGAGACCAGTGACAGCTCTTCTGCGGTGGCCCAACCTGCCAGCAAGTGGGTTTGTGCCCATTCTTCCAACAGCAAGAAGGAGAATCACAACCAGTGCATCACAGAGAAGCTGGAAGTGCTGGCAAAGGCCTATTCTGTCCAGGGGGACAAGTGGAGAGCTCTGGGCTACTCCAAAGCCATCAATGCACTCAAGAGCTACCACAAACCAGTCACCTCCTACCAGGTAAAGCACCTTCCCAGGGTGGTGGACCAGGGAGAGAGACCCAGCATCCTAGCTCTGTTATGAACCAGATTCCTTTCTCTTTCTGTATGTGGAAGAGCTTATCTTCAGGCCTTGGCAGTTCCCTCCTGTGGGAGTGTTTTGATGGAAGTTCTGTAGCAAGTGCGAGTTGTATTTATTGACCACCGGCAGTGTTTTCAGATGAGCAGAAAAGGGGAGTCTGAGTCTTTTTGGGCCAGATCTGAGCACCCATGAGATAAATGCCTTCTCCAGGCTCAATGCAGGGACATTTTCACCTTCCTCTTAGGCGTCAGCAACTGCCACCATTGGAGATAATATATAAAACTAACTGGATCTAGGCCTGATTGGCTGTGACAGTCCACCGTTCAATGTGTTAGTGTTTCAGTCCTGTTCTGCATGCTTGTTCTTTTCCACTTGGCATTGAATCGATGTAGCCTATGTAAGCCTGGCCTAGAGAAGAGAGTGGCAGTCAGAACTAGTCCTGCCACTTACCAGTTATTGATCAAATGGCTAACCAGGCTCTGAGTGGGTAGCAGCTCCCCAGCTTGTCTGTAGCCTTCACTTTTCCAGCAGGGGCTCTGTTTTCTTGCTAGGAAGCCTGTAAAATCCCTGGGATTGGGAAGCGAATGGCAGAGAAGATCCTGGAGATCTTGGAGAGTGGACACCTGCGCAAGCTGGATCACATCAGTGAGAGTGTGCCTGTGCTGGAGTTGTTTTCCAACATCTGGGGAGCAGGGGTCAAGACAGCTCAGATGTGGTACCAGCAGGTAAGTTTAGTGCCTTACACAAGAGGTTCTCAGACTAGGGTTTGAAGACTGTTTCTGAGTGCAGGAGAATTACTTTCACAAATAGTTTCCAATTGCCAATATGCACAGATGGGATCTGAGTCTGGTGTTATGGGAGGAGCTGTGAGGCTGGGTCCCATTGTGGGCGTGTTTGGGGAGAATGGAGTGCACCCGGCTGAGACTTGGGTTTGGGTGGAGGATAGGCAACAGAGACATGCAATAGGAGCAGTGGGGGACACACTGCCTCTTCCATTAGCATCGCTGCTTGGAGCTCATCTCGCACTGCTCACTGCAGTGACACTGCTAAGAGCCAGGCTTGAGCCAGGACATCTTGGCCATGAAAGCTCCTGATCCAGTTGCTGGCCTGTTGGCCAGGCTGGCTCCTGTAGCTGTCAGAGCAGCCGTCTACCTTGTCTGGCAGTTGTAAAAGTGAGGTTAAAGTCATGGTGCCAACATGAGCAACCCAGGCCACTGGGTGGGTTCCTTCTTTAAAAACAATGTGATTGCTGAGCACAGAGCTAATGAAGCCTGGTTTCCTGTAGTGTTTGGTTTGTGACTGGATTCTTTGCTGTCTTGAAAATATGGTTGTGTTCACACTGTAGGCTTTCCCTCATTGGGATATTCCAGGTGTTGTTCCTTTCCCTGCATCACTTGTTTTCCTTCAAGCTGTAGGAACACAGTGCTTTAAGAACAGGAGCCTTCCGTCAGTTTTAGTTAAGATTCAAAGTCATTGTGGGGTGGAGATTAGAGGTGTGTGTGGGTAGTGGGATTGCCTAAGTCCCTTCTTTTAGGAACCAGGCCCTAAGTGATCTCTACATGTGATCTCAGAAGCTGTAACTGGCTTGGACTTGAGACAGGTTAAATACAATCTCCCCAAATCTTGGTTGAAGGTATCTACAGAGCAAAGTCTTGGTAGATGTTTGAATATCATCACATGGTCTGCACTAGGGTTTCCGCACACTGGATGATATCCGCACCAAGGCAACTCTCACCAGCCAGCAAGCTGTGGGGCTGAAGCACTACACAGATTTCCTGGAGCGCATGCCTCGGGAGGAAGCTGCAGAAATAGAACAGACCGTGAGTAGCTTGGCCCCGGGCCCTCAGAGTGGAGTACTTGCTTGGGACCTGACAGGAGGGTGCATGCTGTGGAAGTGTCCCTCACTGTTACAGCTGAGCTCTTCAGACTCTCCTCTGAGCAGGGTCGGTGCTTGGGGGACCCTTTTTGGGCATGGGCACACAAGGCACCTACTTTGCCCCGTAGGAAGGTTCAGTTTGAGTGCCTGGCAAGGAGGAGGGTACTTCACAGGTGTCAGTTCTACACGCTGCTTTGAAAAAGGCTGCGTGTGGTATGGTGGGATGAGCAGGTTTCCAGCTCCTCTTTCCTGCCTCTTGTCTTCTCTGAGATGTCTGCTTTCAGCCGAGGCCCCTGAGCTGTCTCCCTGGTGCTGCTTCTCCAAAGGAAGCTGTGAGCACCCTGTGAGCTGGTTGTCGGTGGGGAGACCGAGCATGGATATCCTTGCTGAAAGCAAAGAGGATTCAAGTTGCAGATGGATGCTGCTTGCTCTACTATGCCATGGCACTCCAGGATTATGGGGTGCTAAGCCAGTGTACCCTAATGTGAGCAGAGAGCTTGAGGGACACACTGTCATTGCTACCCCTGTGCTCTCTGATCACCATGGAAGCAGCAGCCAGCGTGACCCTGTCACTCGGCCACAGGGCCTGGCCATGAAGAATACACTCCTGCCAGGCTCCTGCTGGGATGTCAGTCCCGTGTGCCGGATTAGCCATTTTGGTGGTGAGTGGTCCCTTTCCCAGGCAGGCTGGGTGGAGGAGCTGGCTCTTGGGGGTGGGTCTATTGTTATCTTGATGGGATTACTGCGCTCCCCTCCATACACACGCACACACCTCTGATCCAGGCCCAGGAGAGAGAATGAGGGATTAGTCACTGTCTGTGCTGCCTGTCACAGTGAGATCTGAGGAGCTTTTAGGCTCTCGGGTGGGGCTGGGAGTTTTCTAGAAATCTTCATTTAAAGTCAGAAGGGGGGCAAGGACACCAGAGGAGGGCTTGCTCCGCATGAGAAAGGCTTGTGGCTTCTTGGAGCACCTCTGGGGCAAAGGTTAATGGGTTTATCTCTTGCTAATGAAGGATGATCCCCAAGAGTGACAAGGGTCTGTGGGCATGGACATTGCGTTCCTGAACCCCAGCCTCTGTGATGGCCTCGTCACTGGGAATTGCTGAGCCCCTAATTATTTGCTGCCAGCAGGATGATTGGCATAATCAGACCAAGAATACTTTACTCCTGTCCAAGGACCTAGGAGCCTTTCTTAAGCATTTAATGAATGAAGCCATCAGAATTAGCCCCGTCTGCACAAAACGGGAGCTGGGGTCCAGCCTGGAGATGGCTGCATTAGGGGAAGTTCTGATTATATGTGTCTGATTGCTGGCAGCAGCATGTTGGCATCTGTTCGGTCTAAAATGCTGGGACATTTGTGGTTTTTCTGGGTCACGAAGCCCATCTCTCCTGTGAAGGCAGGGCTCCTGGCAGGAGTGGATTCCAGGGGACACTTGCAGATTTTCTGCTGTCTTGGGTCCTGCTGGGGAGACTCTCCATGAGCCCATCTCTGCTTCTGAAACAGAACCTGTTACCATCTTGTGTTGAACTGATTCTCTTTGTGGACAGAGCTGGTGAGCTTTGCCCTCCTAGCCAAAAGGAGAG